CCCGAAAGCTGTGGAGTGGAGCTGCCTGATGGGCTGGGGCTGGAACACACAACTGGGGTGTTCATCCAGATGGCCAGGGATCACAAAGCACAGACCAGCCTCTGACACGAGACACTGAAGTGAGATGAATTTCTTGGAAATGTGCTCTTCCACACCTTAAAATAGCGCAGGCTGTCCTCTCCCTTCCCATGTGCTGGAGGGTACCAGAACTGCAAAACATTCTACATTTGGCTGCAGCTAATTTAGCTTTCATTTTACAAAACCCACACTAATCCCCCCATGTTAAAAAGAATACGCTTCCTGCTCAGTTAACTCTGTGTGGCAGGAAGAAATTCTTCCTTTGTATTTCTAGCAGCAAATACCAGCTACAGGCACCAAAGTTTCCCGCTACATTCTACACCACCTTCCCCAAATGCACAGGTCTCTTCATCCAGGATTGGGGGATAAAAGGACTGCGGTTCTACAGATCCAACAAAGCAATCCCTCCGATTAAGTGCTTTGGGAACTAAGCACAGGGCAGCACGACGCATCCCACAGCAGCCAGGAGTAAAACAAAGTCAAAGCCAGGCAGAATGAAAAAGGCTCATGGCTCAGGCTTTCCCCTTGAAGCTTTGTAAGTCTCTTCTGCATTCAGAGGGACTCAAAGCAACCTCAGGAATAGGTTTGAGTCTGGCTCTGTGCAGAAGCACACTGAGAGCAGAGCCTGCGCACAGGAATAATGACTGGCTTATGTTCTTCCCAGGCAATGGAGGAAGAGTGCAGGAGGATGCATCTGATGACTTCTCTAACCCAAATCCAGAGGTGAGCCCTAAAATGAAAGACTTTCTTCATGCACTGTTTAGTTAAAAAAAAAAAAATAAAATTTTACTTTCAGTAACAATATAATTTATTCTTTAAAGTAAATTAATCCACCTTTCTTTAATTATATGACAGTTCTGGCAAAGAGAAGCAGCAGGTACAGTTGGTGAAGTATTTTCATTTGAGCTGAATTTCACACAGTTCCATGCAGATACAGTGCCAGAAACTTCTTGAATGTGTCTGGCTGAAAGCCAGAAATTCCAGCGGGCTTCTGCAGAGAAAAAGACACGGATGCTCAGTTTGCAGTGAAGTGATTAATGTAGACAAACAACGGCTTTAAACATGCTTGAATAAGACTTTCAGGCATGGCAGCTTCCAAATTGTGCTCTCCCTCCCCAGAAGGGTTTGTGTGGGAGTACTTCCACTGGTGTCAATCTCAGAGGGCAGAACCCTTTTGCCTCTGAGATGCTCTCCCAGTATAACCAGTACAGGCATCCCTGTGCCCTATTTAGTCCCCAGAGAGGCTGACAGTTGCTTGTGAGCGCTCCCTTCCTCAGAGCTGGTTTTAAACAAGCACATTATGAGATGGTGGATTACAGCTGGAGGTATCTGCACACAGGAGTTCATGTTAAGCATGGCATGTCGCACATCAGCACTACAGATACTCAGAAACTGGTCCCCTCAGAAATACCTGCATAGGTAAAAATGAGGCCAACGTCCACTTCAACCCTCCAGCGAGTTTAAAACCTGCTGCAGCTCTTTGCCAGCTCCCAGACCCCAGCTGTGGTGAAAGAGCAGCATTTCCACAACCATTTCCCAAGTTTTCCGTACCGTAACAACTTTCTTCTTGATTTCTGGGACGCACTGGGCTCTCTCATACAGGTTCTGATCAGAGTCAATCCAGACTAGATTTTTCACACCATCATTAGAGACAAGGTCTGTTGTATTTAACTGGAACACCATGAACTGGAAGAGCTGTCCATCTGTGCCAATGCTTTGCACCACTACTGGCTGCTCCAAAACCTTGGGGTCATTCTAGGAAAAGAAGGGGCATGTGGGGGAGAATGTTTCAAAATCTAGTTACAACAGAAATTGTATGAGTACTTGCTGATTCTGCATCTTTGGGTTGGTTTAAAGCCAAGATTTTAATAAATATATTGTTACCTTGCCCAGAAAATGACTCTAGTCAAACAAGTTTTGAATGTAGATTTTGTATTTTAATTAAAATTCCTCCTTCAGCCAGCAATGAAGTGTCAATTTACATACTGAGCTGTGGGATGGGTAACAGTTTTACAGCTGAACTTACTTCCTGGCTCCTGCCCCTACCACCCCACTGCATCACATTCTCATTGCTGAGCAGTGGATTTATGGATTTCTGAAGGTTGGGTTTTCACCTCTGGGCTGGGAAGCTTGGATGTGAAAATGACTGTAAGGGGCTTTCAGGCCTCCCTACACTGGCTGCAGCAGGAGAGGAAGAAGAGAGGCCCAGCAGCAGCCTCCCATACGTACCCCGTGGAGCGCCTTGGCCTTGGCCAGCGCGTTGCCAAAAGCAAACATCAGCATTTTAGCACGGAGCTGTTCTGGTCTGAACCTGTCGGTGCGAACGTTGGCAGACTCCAGGAAGAACAGGGTGTGAGGATGAGAGTAGGGATAACCATCTCTGAAACCTAAAAGGCACATAATCATGTCAGAAACTGCTCAGGAAGACACTATGCAGCCAAGGTTTTCTCCCATTATCTTCAGGAACTGTTCAAGTAGTTTGCTGGGGTTTAAGTTCTTGTCCTCAGTCCTGCTTAGGCAACACTATACTCACCACAGGTCTGGAGCACTCTTCTGTCCTCCCATTCCCACATACTCCCTACCCTCAGCTGCCCCCAGAGGGACAAGGACTCCCAAGTTAACCCAAACACAGATGATTACCACCAACACTGACCTGTATCATTGAGCTCTTTGTACACATTCACCTCCTGAAGATCGATTGTAGGAGCAATGGGATAGAAGGTCTCCAGAACATGTTCTTTGGTGGCCAGTATCTCCTCCTTGGAGGCTACTGGTGGTATTGGGGTCATAGAGTTCATGAGTATTCCACTCAGGCCACGGACCTGAAGGAGGATGGATTCTGGAGAGGGAAATTCGGCTACAGTCAAACACTGCTGAAATAACATCAGGGAAAGATGTACATTTCCTTTTGCCAGTCTGTTCTGCAAGGCTCACTCTCTCCCCCTCACCTCCAAACCCATCTGTAGGTTCCTCTTCTAAAATGCCAATGTTAATTGCTAGGGTTAAATTCTCAACTAAATATCCTTAGAAAAACAACAGCACTGATTTAGGACCCGAGAAAATAAACAGTCAGACCTAAGACACTGGTTCCCTTCTCCCACCATCTTGTCAGTATTGATTAACACCTAATAATCTCCTCAAGGACAGCATCCTCCTATCATCCAAGGCTGCCCATGCCAACAGCACTATTTAAACCAGAAAGAATAACCTGGTTCCAGAAATCGTTTCATTTTCTCCAAGTCCTCATCCTTAAAGCCAGGAGCTTTGCTACCCCTCTTATCTTACATGCTTCCACTACAGCAGCAACTGACCTCTTTCCCATGTTGCTGCTATCCTGCAGTTTCTAGCCAACATCCTTTTACTCAGAGAAGGATACTTCCCAGACATTAACCGGCATAAATGCATCAGGTTTTCAAACAGCACTGGGCTGTAAAAGAGGAAAAGAAACAGTTACATAAAAATGAGATCATAAGAGCAGGCAGATGCTTCTAGGGCACAAATGCTGTAAAATTACTGTATGTAAAACATATAATGGCATAACACTCCCAAACAGAGATTGCAGATTGGTATCACACACACTGTTTCAAGTTGGCAGAGGTAATGCTTACAATTATTTTAAAAATTGATACTCTGCATCAGCTAGATCTTGAGTTGAAACACAGACATTGGCCTGAAAGAAGCTTTGATCTAGTGTAGTATTTATGTCAGTGCTACTGTCAATATTCAGAATTGGGTTTTATTTGTTTCTTTGGTTGTTTTGTTTGACAATCTGATACAAACGGATTTGCACAGCAGACCCTCCTTCCACAGAAGAGTTGTGTGTGAATTTTCTCTGCAGCGTTTAAAACCTCCCCTACAGCACAGGACTCACCAATATTTTTCCCTCCTGGGAGCCACCTCTGCTGTGTCCCAGAGCCGCGCGTGGGACACCACGCGTTTCGCCCTCTCCTCCAGCTCCTGGAGCCCCAGAGCAGGGTTATCCATAATGGCCTGCACGGCTGGGGGCAAACCTTCCACGAGCTTCGTCTTGGTGAGCCACTGCGCCTGCCGCACTCCTGGAAACACAACCCAACGCGAACTATCACACGTGTCAGCGGTGATCCTCAAGGCCCCCCTCCAACCCAAGCCATTCTACGTGTGACCGAGGCTGCCTGGCAGCTCACGAGGCTCAGCAGGCTCTTCACAGCCCGTGTTTTACACTCTGTGCGAGTAGAACCCTTGGCAGGCGGAGTGCTTGGGAAGGGGGCAACGCTGGGGCCGGCGCGGGGTGCCCGGTACCTTCCAGCATGCGGACACCCTGATGGCAGATGTAGCACCCGCGCTCCTTGTACAGCGGCATCTCCTCGTAGCGCGGCCCCGGCGAGTGCCAGGGGTCGCGCCAGCCGCGGTCCCAGGGCGGGAAGCGCGGCCGGGCCAGGCCGGGCACGTAGTGCAGCCGTTCCGCGTACGTGACGGTGTCCAGCTCCACCTGCTCCCGCACCGGCCGCGGCTCCGCCATCTCCGCCAGCACCTCCGGCGGCGGCCCGCGCACGGTCCAGGGCGTGCGCGGCAGCGGCGCACGGTGGCGGGGCCGTCCCGCGCGGGTGACGATGCCGCGGGTGAGGCCCCGCGCCGCCGCCGCCGCCGCCACCCCCGCCCGCCTCAGCGCCATCGGCCCCGCCGCCATCGCCGCCATCCTCCTCCTCCCGCCCGCCGCCTCAGCGCCCGCCCGCCGCCATCTTGGCGAGGGCTCTTCCCCCACCGTCACCCCCGGTGACTGACGGCGGCGGCGGCCAATGGCGGGCAGGCGCGCCCCGCGGTAAGGGAGGGTCGGCAAATTGCCTGGCGGGTGAGGGGCAGGCGTTGGGTTGGTGAGCGGGGAGGTGCCTCTTCGCCTGTGGGGCAGGGGGAGGGCACTTGAGAGACCATCCCTGGGCGGGAGCCGGAGCTCGTGTGGCGGGGCCGGGGACGCTGTGCCCCGGGCCGGTCTATCCGAGCCCCCGGGCGTGCATAGTAAGTGCTCGAAAGTCTGTGAATCTGCGCAGCCCCGAGCCCGGGCGTCTCGGACTCACCCGCGGCAACGTCGGGTTACCCCCCGTTCATAGCCCGTGGGTGCTGCGGGCCCCCGGACAAAGCGGGCGCGGTGGGAAGCCGGGCCAGTCGCCTTTGGTTCTCTCTTCCTTTCCCCGCCCGCCTCCTTAAAATAAGTGTGTTTCTGTTACAGGGGTGAAGGTTAGTTAATTAATTGACCTTGACAATGAAACTGCTGGAAGCGCTAAATGTTCGCTTCCTCCGCTTCGTCACCCGTGGCTTCATAATTTCCTGTGGACCGCCTTGTGTCCGGGGGATGTGGACACAAGAGCCTTGTGATCAGCCGTAACTCGGCCCGTGTGTGAAAACAGCGGCGTCCGCCGAGGTCTGCAGCATGGTTTTGACCTGAGGAGTGTTCAGTGGGTACAGCTCCTTGGGAAGCAACGGGAGCGAGGGATGAAGTCCTGTGGTTCTTGGCCTCCCCTACCTATGCGTTTAAAGCCCTGTATTCAAAGTCTATAACCAAAGTGGTTGTTTGCCTGAGACTTTGTCCTCTTTGTCTCAAGTCTCTTGGCTCTGAGGACTGCTTTCAGCTCACTGCCCTCCCCCACTCCAAAGCTACACAAAACTCAGGCCACATCTGGTGGCTGGGTTTGCTGCCCATTGTCCTGGTGGTTGGGTTTGTCACCCTATCTCTGGGACCGAGCAGCAAGATTTTTAAGATGTTTCTGCTCCGGGTGACCAAGCTGCTCTTTTGTAGGAAATCACCACGGCGGAACGAGCAGGATTAAAGGGTGTAGCTTTGGCTGGGCAGCCTGTCTGGGGAGGAGGGCCTGAGGCTGGGCTGAGCCTCTGCTCTGGGCTGGTGGCTCTGAGGTCTGGTGTTTGTGCAGAAACATTGAGCACTTGAGCAAAAATGGGGTGTTACACATCGGCTCCAGGTTTTCCATTTGACACACGTGCAAGATGCTCGAGAGAGATTTTCTCAGTCCTCTGAAAACACCCAGCTGATGAGCACACGCTGCTTTTCGTCGTGCTGGGTTTGATGCAGGGCTTGTGTTTTGCAGGCAATGAGTGACAACGAGCAGGACTGGCTGGCTCTGAGGCCTCAGGAACCTTCTCCATCCCAGTGCTGCGGCAGCGGCTGCAAGCCCTGCATCTACGATGTGTACGAGAAGGAGCTTGCACAGTGGGAGAGAGCCAAAGCAATGCAAGACAAAAGCCTTCTCCTGGGAAAGAAGGAGCAGGTCGATTTATCTTCATCGCATCCTGGAGCCTGTGCTTTGATCGTACTTGTTCGAGTCTGGGGTTGTGGTGATGGGTGAGGGATGCTGGGATAAATTAAAGTGGTGTTTTAGGAGAGGGCTGTAAATGCAATTCCCCAAACTCTGCTTTCACCCTCCCCCTTGGCCGCTCTCTCCCTGCTGTAATGTGATTTTCCAAGTGTAGAGTTCTCCCTGGTGTCGCATTACAGCTCTGGCTCTGCAGCTTCTCCTCTCTGAGTTTCCTCGGAGAAGCTTTGTTTTCCTCACCTTTTCATCTTTGCCTGATTTTTAGACTCAGATTTTGATGCTGAGAAAAAGCTGTGTTGTGTGTAGTGGAGCAGTTGCCTTCAGAGTGTAATTTTTAAGCCTGTCAGTACCCTTTTACATAAGATTAACTATGCTGGGTCAAACAAAAAAGATCAGCTGAAACAACTGACAATATTTTTTATTCACTGTAGCCATCAGCAGGTTGCAGAGTTGCCCCCAAAGCAGCACTTGGCTCTTTTAGCAGAATTATTTCTGTTTGTTTCCAGACATGAGAAAATGATTGCAGTGAGTCATAATAGGATGACCTTGCTGTAAGGTGTAAAAAAATGTAATTTAAAAAGGTGGTGGTGGGGAGAAATGCAAGATCCCAAAGTGCATGCTGCAGAACATGATAATGAATCAGCAGAGAGCTGAAATTTGCACCGGGCCTCGGTGTTTAATACATGTCCTGAGTGTCTCTGGCACTAAATTAGCACGCACGTTTGCTTCCAGAGAAAAATGAAATAATAAAAGACACCATCTAACCAAGTAATTATTTATTGTTGTTCTTGCAGAGCAATAATTCAGAGCTGAATCCAGATACATTCACTGCATTCAGCGTGAGCTCAGTGGAACAGCTGACAGAGGACACCTACCAGTACAAATTTGAATTACCGGGAAATAGCAGCTTGCGATTGAGTTTAGGACAACATATCGTGTTAAGGTATTGTTCTCTGTGCTAGTTAAACAGTCTGCATTATGTAACCTAACATGTAGGGTTTTGTCAATAGACAAAGGCTTCATAGCAGGCAAATCATGATTTCTGTATCTCCACAATGACACAGATGAAAGAGCTCGTGAGCTCGCTGCCTCTACTAATTCTATGGTAAAAGCTGTAGTTTTCTTCAGCATTATCCCTGCGTTGGTGGCTCAGAAAGAGCTAGGTGTGATTAAGAAAATACATTTGCAGAAAGAAAGATTTAAAAGAATAGAAGTTACAACAGATTATTTACTCCAGTGTGTTGAAACAAAGACAATGAGCTGCACTTGCCCCAGAGCTCAGTATTTTAGGCCCTGTATCTTGGGGTAACTCAGCACCCCAGTACCCAGTCACTGCCTGACTGATTTCCAGCAAAACAACCCTGCTATGTAGTTTGCTGCTTGCCAGAAAGGGGCCACTTGGGGAAAGTTTCTGTCTCTCAGCCATCTGTGGTGATCATTGCCACACAGAGAAAGTCCTGTTACGATGCCATTGATGTGCATCTGTCGACGTCCCTGGTACAGTCAGGGCTGGTGTGTGCAGCTGGTTCTGCTGACAGCACACGCTCCTCCCTCCAGCCCTGGCTCATCACACAGCACAGAAAAAGGTTTGGTCACTTCAATCAATTCCTGTGGTCAGTAGCAAAGAGCAGGGTGGATAATTCCATGGAAAGGGAAGACTTACAGGAAGATACATTCTATATTGACAAGGCCCAAGGTCAAGGCTGTGCCTTGGCTTTTGTTACTTGATTACCAGATGCTGACTGGATGCAGAAAGTGACCCCAGCTCAAAAGGGACAGCAAACTTCTCAAAAAGAAAACAGCAAAGTGTTTTCTCTCCCCTTTGCCTTGTTTCTTTCAAGAACTCTTGCATGTTCTTGAAAATCCCTTTCAGGGGTGTGTCCAGGAGCTGGATGTGGTACAGCTGAGGCCACCACTGGGAAAACAAAAGGTGCTGTTAGCCATTATGTTCCCCCTGGATTTTTGCCTCTGGAAGGGAAATGTTTTGCATCTGTGCACAGGCTGGGCCACTGGGAAGAGGACCTGTGTCCCAGAGAGCTGCAGGAGCCCCCCAAATGACCCAAGTCACAGGGGTTTCCTGTTTCTCTTCTCAGAGGAGTGGTGAATGGTTTGGAGGTCCAGAGAGCCTATACTCCAATTAGCCCCAGGAATGCAGAAGGTTACTTTGAAGTTCTAATTAAAGTAAGTAAGCCTGGACAATATGGATTACAACATAAGGTGTTTTCTTTAGGAACCAAGCATGATGTCAGTGCTTCAAGTGAGACTCTCTCAAATCCCTCATGGACTGTTTCTCTGTTGTTTTAAAGCATTTGTGCTTTGCTGGTAAAAATTGCAGTTTTTCCCACAACACTGAAAGCAGTTCACACACAAACAAGTGCTTTGCAGCAGAAGCCCTGGGATCACTTGGGAGAGCCCCTTAGGTGGAAAGATGTGTCCATTCCACTTCTCTCCTTTCATTTTGCTTTTTCAGGCTGTCTTTGAAATCACAGCCATTTGTCAGCCCAGCTGAACCACTGATTTTGGGAAATGTTTGCTCTTACCCTCCCCTCTGTATTTTACTTGAAGAACACCCCTCTGTCAGTGGGCAGCTGCTCCTGGTGTGCAGACAGGGCTCTGGAGCTGCAGCCTGAGAGGGACTTTGTGGCCCACAGGGCAGAGAGGTGTCCCATAGACACAGGCTGCATCTGTTGAGGTGGACATGGTGGCAGAGCCCATTTTGAACAAGTGTCCTCACCTTTATGGAGTCAATCACAAAATGCTTGTTGAATTCAAAAGGATTTTATAGGAGATTTGGCTGGAAAATAGTCTCATGTAAGTCTTCAGGGTGCTCATAAATTATTATTTTGTGTGGCAAATACTGACTTCAACATTTTTCCAATACTGCATCTGTATGTCAGGAGGGACTCCTCAGGGCAGACACCGACTTCAGTACAGGTGTGAAATTCAGAGTGCTGGGTATCTCAGGTGGCTTGCAGAGAAGGGCCACTTGTCCTCTGCCTGTCTTCCAGGATTTCATGTTTCTGGGGTTTATTATGCATCGTATGTTCAAATACAAGCCCTGCTCTTTAGAAAAGTCAACAGCTTCTCTAGGACACCTGTGGGAGGGTCATTTCCCCATTCTTGTGGCAATTGGTGTGTGGTAGGGGAGAGAAATGTTGCATTAATAGGATACATTCACAGTATGACGGTGAAATTTCATGTATAGCGGCTCATTACTCACAGTTTTTGCATTTCAATAATAATAGTAATGATTGTAATGATACCTTTGCTTTATATAGAACCTTTCATCCCAAAAGGAGCTATAGTTATTCTCTGGCAGTGACAAAAGAGGTTGGTAACACCCAGTGTAAAGCAGCCATTTTTATAACTCACTCTGTAGGTTGTGGTATATTTCACACTATTGAGGCAATTTTGGAAAGTAGTATATTATTATTACTATGCAATCCAAGCACTGTTCAAACCCTTCTGTCTCCTGTTATTACAGCATTGCATTTGTGATACTACAGTTAAGAGTGAGGGAGTTGCCATTTACAGAGCATAACCCTCTTTTTGAGTGATTTTATAATGTTAGGGTTTATCTCCATGTAAAATGGGGTGTGGAAGTTTTCCCCCAGGAGGTAATTTTTTTTTCCTTTTTATGTAGAAAAATTCATTTGAAACCCACTCAATCGCTTTTCACTTCAATTTTTTGGAAATCATTTTGGTGAAAGAAGGATTGTTTTAGTTTCCATTACCCCAGTCCTTTGGGAATGGGCAGAAAGTGGACTTTTCTGTTCTTGCCTTGGGTTTCCAGATGTAGTTGAAGAAGGGAGGTATAAAATTTACTTCTCTGAAGCAAGTGCACACTCTTTGCATGAGACTTAGCACCTGCCCAGAGCCCTCTGAACATAAAAGAATTCTGACAATAACTCAGAGCCTGGTTACGTGTGTGTGATTTACCTTTTGAATGTAACAAATGGTGCTAATACTTCTTAATATTTCAGGTTTAAGTGAGAGGCTGGGAGGGGAGGAGCATCTGTGTTCTTTCTTAGCTAACACTGCTTACAAGCACAGGCTCCCTCACTTGCTTTTTCTGAGCTGCTTTGTGGTTCACCAATTTTGTTTGCCTGCAGTGCAGCTTGGTGGCCAGCCAAGGCACTGGGGTGTGGAGCCAGACTCCTCTCAATGCCTGTGCATGAAATACCCCCAAACACACTTCTTTTGTGTGGGCTGGAGTGGCCAAAGGCTTGTATCACATCCCATCTTCTGACCCCTGGTTGTGTTGCTCTTCCCCAGGCTTATCCTTGTGAGACCCATTGTGTGCTGCAGCTTTGGGTTTTTCAGCTCTTGCTGCTTGGGCCAGTCCTGGTTCTCCAGACACATCCCAGACCGTGGCCACTCTTTTGCTCACATTTTTTCTCTTAAAACATTCAGTGGTCACACATTTAGGGCATGGATGGCAACATGACTGCTTGGACAAGGCCTTCATTTTCCAGCCTCTCGTCCCTTCTCTGTTTCCAGCGAGCACTGAGCCCTTCTCCTCAGTCATGAGTGAGATCAGCATTCCTGCAGACAGCAGCCTGGAAAATGTTGTTTGTGCCTACTAGAAAGTGAGGCAGGTTTTTTGCTCGTGTTTTTCTTCCATGGGGCCAACATTAACCTACTCTTTTGGAACTGTGGAGGCATCCCTCAGCATCCAGATGATCTGTTCTGAAAACAAAGATTTTTACAAAGGAGAAACCTGGCTTAGGGTCACTAATTGTATCAGCGCAGCATCTGAGAGACTGAAACAAAGCAAGAGCTATGTGGTGTTTATATAAGTAACAGTACCCAGAGGGTATTTCCAGACCCCATACCCCTAGATCTGGAGAACACTTGAAGGCCTGCACTGCACTGTGCTTTGCATTCAAGACACTCTTCTCTGTGTGCTTTGTAAGCAAGAACTCTGATAAGCTTTTTCCAGTTTTGGAAATTCAGGCTGCGTGAGAGGGGGTTTGTGTTTACATTATAGTCAAGCTGGAGTGGTTCCAATATGATTTAATTTAAATGTCTTTGTTTTGGGTATAACTTTGAGTTATTTTTCAAACAGAAAGATCTTTCTTTCTTTTTTAAATACACGAAATGTTTCTTTGTCCCCTTTTCATTTAAATGTAGATAACTTTATAATTGACTTTAAGCTGGGAAACTTTCCAATGACGTATAATTATTCTTTTCTTTTGTGCAATGTTTTTTATTAGTGCTATGAAGCTGGGCTAATGTCAAAATACATAAAAACATGGAAAAGAGGAGACGTGGTCTTTTGGCGTGGGCCGTTTGGAGGGTTCCCATACCAACCTAATAAGGTTAGTTCCTAAGAGCTATAGGATGCTTCAGCCTGTGGCAGCAAGCTTTGTTCAGTATTCTGAAGGGAAGGCATCAATTTGATTACTGTTTTCATGACTATTTTAGAGACTTCCTGGGTTACTGTACAGTGTGACAGCATTAGCAGGCAGTTGGAGCACCTTCTTGAACTGCAGAATATTTAAGAGGGGAGGAGGAGGTGGATGGGAGACAGGAAAATATTAGCAAGGCTCTGTGTTCATCACTTGCATTAGGAGTTCCTGCAAAGGGAACTTTCTTTGCACCAGCAATGAGTGTGGATGGGTTTTTGCCTGATTTGATCCACATCTCTGTGTTGTGACTGAATAGAGGCAAAGAGGATGTGTTAATCTTCTCCTCTCTTGGGTATTCCCTGAGCTGTTGAGGTGTCAGGTCGCTCCCCAAATGCTGATCCCACCTGCCAATACCAGGCTGGCTGCAGGGAAAGGCAGATCTGGTTTCATGGGGAGGCTTCTCACACACACTAATTCAGTTACTTAATTCTGACCTTTCCAATGAGGAGCAAATTTGAAACACTGGTCATTAAGATCCTGAAGCCTTTTGGGGTTTTTGGTGAAGTTGTTTTTAAAGGTTTTTTCCCACAACAAAAATAAGTAAAATCTGAGTGGCCAAGTTCTATGCAGAGCAATTGTGTCCTGCTTCCTGACACACTCATTTCTTCCAGAGGACGTTCAGGATTTTACTTTGCAGCAACCAAGAGAAACCCAAGGAGCATTTTCAGTGGAAGAAAACACAGTGGGTCAGCAAAGCGTACTGCAGGATTGAAACTGAAACATGAATTAATTGAAATTGAGGCTAAAGTTAGGATAAATTATTATATTTGGGTAAAATCCAGTTTTGTTGGATTTGATATGTAAACCCTTTAAGTGCTATCTGTAATCCTTTGCAGAAAAATACATTTTGGGATCTGAATTTACCAGTTCATGACCTTCTGGTATGTTGTTTCTCAAGAGACCCTTTACCAGGGTGGCAGTAAGAGGAACTGACTATGAGCACACCCATTTCCAGCCACTACAGCTCATTCCAAATTCTCTGTTTTGTTGTTAGCATGGAGAACTCCTCATGCTGGCCTCTGGCACTGGCCTTGCACCAATGATTCCTATCCTTCAGTCCATAACAGATGATGAAGAGGATGAAACCTTTGTAACTCTTGTTGGCTGCTTCCCTACCTTTGACAAAATTTATTTAAAACCTCTTCTGCAGGATCTGGCTCGGTACTGGAATATTAGAATATTTTATGTCCTAAGCCAGGTAAATAAGTGAAGTGTGTTTGTGTGAGGGTTCTGTGTTCTGGATGAGCCTCTGCCTCCTCCACTTTTCCATAAGCATGATCTTAATTCTTTCCCAGTCATCCTGCCTAATTTGTGATCCAGTAACTGCTGTTCTTAAATCTGCTGCATGTACTCACACTGCTGCTAGTCTGGAGAATTGATGGCCATCTGGAAGTGACCATCACTGTTCCTCTCTGCCTCCCTGTTCTGTTGGGATGGACCTGCTGTTCCATAGTCACTGTTGGTTATTGCCCCCCATTTCAGACAGTTGTTGCTGTACAGTTAAGCTGATTTTTTTCTTCCTAATACTAGTGACTTAATCTGTCCTTATCTTCCATTCTTTGCTCATGGCTAGAGCTCTCCTCTGGTGTGCTAGCACCAACTTCCCAGCAATTATTTTTCCTTGCTGACCCATTTTTAAACTTCTAAAAGTTGTTTCCCCCTCTGTAAAATTACTTTTCTGCCACATTCATGGGATGAAGGCACACATCTCAATGGTCTTACATTTTGAGCAGTCTTTTTCATTTCCATTTGGTCCCAAAGTTGCCTGTGTTCTGCATGGATTTGGTGGTTAAAAATTATTTCCGTCAGAAATGAGGATTCATTGCTGGGAGGATATAGAAAGAATTATTTATGCTAAGGGAATGAATCCCACAGCATTTTTAGTTTCTCAGATGAATCATTTCTTGTATCTCTCACAGTGGAACTGCCTCACACATTCTGTTCCACATGTGGCCTCAGCAAGATGAGATTTGGTAGAGGGAAATGTGCTGGTGACTTGCCCCCCCCCCCAGCTGCTCTGTAGGAGCATAACCATAATTATCTCTGGTGACATGGCTTAAATACCCTTTCCAGGGTGTTTAAACTCTGACTGCTGTCTCAACAGCATGAGGAGGTCTTGAAATTCAATCAGTGAAAGGCACTAAACCCACCTGACCCCTGTCAACACTGTCTGCCCCTCCTCTCTCCCTTTTTACCTCTCTTAGCTGGTTTGTGGTAGTCCAAGGCTGGCTCGTGCATCCTCCCTCCTGGGATTATGTATCTGTCTGTATTTCATTGTGCTGCCTGTCACCACCACATCTGAGCACCTTCTGCTCCTGATTAATTGCAGCAGGGGAATCCCTGCTGGATCCAGCGCCACAGGATCTGACACTTCTCATGGGATCAGAGCTGTATTTGGAGCAGAGCTGGCTTCTTTTGCTTTTGGTCAAGGGAGATGGGACTGAAAGAGACTTGGGAATGGGAGAGGCAATGGAGAGGAATAGACCTGGGACTTGGGAATAGGTGCCCTGGGAGATGGATCTCAATGGAGGAAGTTCTGCAGCATTTATTAGTGATAGTTACACCCTGGTTTTGTTCAGTCCCCTCTGAGTGAGTGGCCAGGTCCTGTGGCAAGGAAAGGTTTCATCTGGGCTTGGGAAGAGGAATGCAGCTCTCAGGGAGGGTCAGTGTCACCCACATGGTGTCACAAAGGTGAAAATCGTCCTGTGAATTACTCTGAGGGGAAGACGGAGATTCAGCTCTAAGCAATGTTGTCCTTTTAATGTCACACACAGCAAACCTTTTACCTTTCCAGGAAACTTCGCTGGAAAAACTCCCTTGGAGCTATCAGGAAAACACGTATACTGGTCGTCTCAGTGAAGACTTGATGAAGACAATAGTAAATTCCTGTCGAAGAAGGCCATTTGTACTAATTTGTGGCTCTTCTGCATTCAATGAAGACATGAGCAGATACTTGAAAGCTGCAGGAGTTGAAGAAAATTCCTATTTTGTCTTTTAGCAGGGCATTCCTCACCTGAGGAACCTTAGGCTGAGCCTTGGATGTCCTTGTTTCTTTGCAGACATCGCACAAAACAGGCCTGCTCAGAAGACTGAGCTCCTTGGAGCAACTATTTGTTGGTCCTCCCCTCGGTGGTGTAGTAAGGGACAGGTGCCATTCCAGAGTGGCTGGTACATGGTGTGCCACCCATACCTCAGGTACTAGGATGGCACTTGCAGTGGAAGTCTTCAAGGGCAATTTTGAGAGAGAGCTCTCCTGAGAGGGTACTAGAAAGCATCCATGCACACAGCTCTTCTGTAATACAAAGATTGGTGACTTGCTTTGCAGTCTGTTATTCTGCAGCAGTATTGTGCCCTGTTAGGTGTCCAGAGGAGAGATATAATCTTCAGGGATCCTTGCCAGGCTAAGGGGACAGCAGAGTCGGGATCATTTTGATTCTGTCATGTGCAGGCTGATGTCAGGCAAGTCCCTTCAACCTCACTGTGCTTCATCTGCCCCACTATACACTAATACAGAGAAGGTGGCACTGATTTCTGAAAACAGCCATTCCAGCTCTATCTGGAAAAAGTATCCATAAGGATGGAATGACACGTTCTGTCTAGTGAGAACTTAGGCTGAGCTCCTGCCCTGGCACAGCCTGTGTTACCTACCCTGTGCTTAGCCCTTGAAATGCTACCTAGGGAGACAAAGAGCGTGTCCTAAAAGTGGGAGAGTGTGGCTGGGTTGTGGCTGCTGTCTGTCAGGGAGGACGGTTGTTTGCTTTCCATGTCCCCTAAGTGCTGTATCATAGCCCTGACTCATTAAGTTGAACCTTTTTCCAAATAAACAGCTGTTTAGTGTTGTCACAGGACTCTCTCAGGTGCCTGAGGAGGTTCCCTGAGCATACAGGAACACCACCTGAGGAGGGAAAGCTGCATGGGGTCTGCTGGAGAGCTTCCCTGTGGGACAGGGAGCAGAGCCAGGGAGCTGCCTCAGGAATGGCATCCTGGCACAGCACCCAGCCTGGGCACCTGCTCCCCTTCTTCTTTTTTCAGTCCAAAATGCTGCTGCTTTTCCTCTGAGGGAGCTGCTGTCCACTATTTTACCTTCTTAGACTGCTGTGTTTAGTATTTACACCTGGAAATACAGCTTTCCTGCACACCTTGTGCTTTTCTGTTCATTCCCAGTTCATCCTGTGTTGGGGTTTTCCAGGCTGTGTCAGGTGATTATTGCATTATCATTCATGCTTCTTTTGTACCTGTGTCTAACACTACACCTTACACAAAGGAAATGTAGTTTGTTACACGAAAAACACAGTGTGCACTGAAGTGGTGGCTTGTTTCACACGTTTGGGAGGGAGTGTAAGTTCCCTTTGCACTGCTGAGATTTGTCTCCAGTTACCAAATGCCTGGAATTAATCAAGTGTAGCTGCAGCTTTTATGTTAACTTCCTTGGAGACAAGGGCTGACAAGGAAGCCATCTTCCTAACCCAAACTTGGGCTCTGGGTTTAAAGGCATGGAGATCCAGGGAAGTTGTCCATGTCAGTCCAAGGCAAGCTGTCATCTCCAGTCCATGCTGTGCTTCAGCCTCCCTAAGTCACCGTGTAGTGAAGATGCTGCTTTGCACACAGGCTGATAAAATAATGAGATGCTTTCTCCAGTTGCTCCCCCTACTTTGGCCTTAGCTAGGGATATGGAGGAAATATTTTTTGTCAGATATTAAGTATTTGAAAACCTTACTTCTGGCCCGCTGGCTTTAAATATTATGTGGTTTTGAGATTTTGCTAAAACCACACCCCACCTTTCTGCAAAGGCCCAAGGTAAAAAACTTCACGCTCGCCTTGGAAAAGCGCCGGCTTTCAGCGTGAAAGCTGGGACTGTTCCTTTAAACACAACCCCAATATGTCTGGGTATTTCAGCACATATGGGCCACGATGGTTAAACCCTACCCAGCTGGTCCGGCCGTTCTGCCGCGCAGCTCCGTCTTTGTTCGTGGCTCAAAGGGAGGGTGGTGAGAGACGGAGCAAGCTGTGAGTGCTGCGGGTTGCCATCCTGCGGGAGCGGGCTGCGGCCGAGCGGGAGGAGCGGGGCATGTCCCGCCCGAGGGGACAGGGGCTTTGCGAGACATTCTCCGTGGGGGAGATGATGCCCTTGGAAGCAGGAACTCGAAGGAGCTTTTAAACCGCCCGCAGGCACTTTGTTCTCTATTTTCTGCCCTTCTCTCCCTTCCCCCTCCCGCCTTTTGTTGTTTCTCAGGCTGGCTCTAACACGAGTCCCCTCATCCCCCATGGGGACAGCCCCTTTCAGAGGATGGCGTGGATTCCTGCAAACGCAGGGATGCGGAGTGGAAAGGCTCTGGATATTCCTTGCCAGGGGAAGACGAGAGGTTTCCATCCCTTTGGAGGCCCAGAACCAGCCGGTGGTGGCAGTTTCGTGAGGAATCGGTGTCGGTGCTGGTGGTGACTGGGGCATCTGTGGAGCTGGAGGTGTGTGAGCTGGGGTGGGTGCCCAGCCAGGGCAGGGGCTCACATCCTGCCTCTCCTGCCAGGCAGGGGCTGCTGCTGGGATCTTCCTGATCTCTGCCTGCCCCCAGGAAGCCTCTGCCACCCGTGCAGCACTGTGCAGGGGAGATGGGGTTTGCATCGCTTCCTTTCTTCTTCCTCATGTGCAGCCTCAGTACCTTCTTAATTTCATCTCATTATTTCCTGCCTAAATAATTCCCGTTTCTCCTGGGGACCGTTTTTAAACCTTTGATCTTCTCTGAAGTCTCACAATCCCGATCACGTCCTTTCTGTTTAAATGAATCAAATGCCTTTTTGACTCATGATTTATAAATTTGCCCACAGAGGAACAGAGGCACACCTTGAAATCACCCACCATGTCTGTGGCTGGAGCAAAAGTACCCTGGGCTGATCCAGAGCACCTTCCAGCCAGGCCTCCATACATGGCTCCTCTGCTTCCCTGCTGTATGTCACTCTCCCCCTGCCTCCCCCACCCTCCCACCCCGCTCTTCAGCTGACAGCCAGGTTGCCTGGGCTCAGGCCCAGCCTGGGAATGGCCATCCCCAGGTCAGGAGAAGGGTGAATGTGCCTGTGGTTGATGGATGCCTTCTCCTGGGAGCGGGGCACAGCTGCTGTGCTGCACAGCCCTGACCCCCATCTCCCGGGGATTGCTGATGCAGAGCACAGCTAAGGGGAGGGAGAGGAGCAGCTGTGCAGGTGTCCCAGGAACTGGCTTGGTGCTGAGGCAGTGCTGGAAAGGCTGGAAGACAGTGGGTGTTGCCCAGGATGGATGTGATGAGGATAAACATGTTGCTCCATAGTGCAGTGATGCAGAAGTCAGGAAGCACTTTGTTCCTGAGCCCAGGGGATGGTGGCTTGGAGGGCTGAGCACTCCTTCTGGATGAACCTGGTTGTGGCAATGGAAAATACCCAGGAGAAGCCCCTGTGCCATGGCCAGACCTCGCCTGGATCTTTGCTGTGTGGGCCTGCACTTGTTGACGAGGACAGACCTCCTCTCCCAGCCATTAGGGAAGCAGCTAATTAAGCTCTGTAATGTTCCTGGGAGGTCAGCAGGAGACGCGCCAGCGTTGCAGCATCTCCCAGAGCCTGCACTGGGGCAGGATCTGCACACAGTACCCAGGGACAGGGGGAGCTGCCCTGATCCTCCTCATTCCATTGTGCTCTTAGTCCTGGTGCTGGTGGGATGATGCAGTGCTCAATGCCCCGGGACAGAACCCAATGTTCCCTGCCTCAGCTGGGCTTAGGAGAGAGGGCTCCTGGCTGGGATGTCCCAATGCTCCCAGCAGCCCTCGGCATGGCTCCAGCAAGGCTGGGCAGTGGGGAGAGAGCCTGTACAAATATTATTGTTGTTGTTATTCCCCATAAATATATGCAGGCACTTAACGACCTTGGCATGGAGCATTTCCTGGGGATTCATGACCAGTTGGCGTTAATGGTCTTTAGCTGCACCTCAGGCCATCAGCTCCTCCCAGCCCATCATTAATCCACAGGAAATGTCTCGAGCATCGATCCTCATTGCTTAATTAATAAATGCAACTTGTCTCCTGCCTGAGATTTAGAGATACTCACTGCTTCTCTCCCTGCTGCTTTGAAGGTGACTTTTTTAGCACAGGTCCCTCACGCTGGGAGGCCCTCGTGGGATTTTGTTTCCTGGCATTCATGTGGGTGTGGGCTGTGGCAGCAGGAAAGTCTTTTCTCTCCTGGGCGGGAGGGAAGGAACTGAGCCGCTGTTGGGTTTGGGGTTTCTCCAGCTAATGTGGCACAGCACAAGGAGCACATCTTTCCCACCAAACCCAAAGGCTTGCTTACCTTCAGCTGAGCGCATCCAAGAGCCTGGGCGAGAAGTAGCGTGAGCCAGCATGGAGGAACGTGGCAATTCTCCAAGGCCTTAGCAGGTTCTATAATAATCAATGTTTTTTGCCCATGAGTCACAATTCATCTCTAATCTTCTTCGGGGGAGGTGGGATTTGCTATCTTTAGTGCTCACGACTGCTGCTTTCCCGGGCTGAGTATCCCGCTGAGCCTGGACTCCTGCTGCAGGGATGCTGACCTGGCAGCCGGTGCGGAGACGCGGCCGCGTTTCAATCCTGCTCCCTGTTTCTCTCGCCTTCACCACCAGCTGCCTTTGTGCAGTGGGTGCCGCAGTATAAATCTTGTTAATTCCTGAGATGCTTTTCCGCGGTAAGTCTGAAATTCCCATTTTGGTTCGCTGGCTTGCCTGGCGAACTAAATTATTTTCATAGCCCCTTAAGGGCATATTGTCAGCCCAGACTTACTGCCGTTATACGCCATTTCTGAAACATTAATATCTCTTCTAAATATAGTGTATTGACAAGGTATCTGGTATAGTGTAAATCCTTGGGACATTTGATCCAGATCATTAAAACTGAGTGAAGGAAGGGAGGAATAGATCAAGTTACCTTGCTGCTCTTAATTCAAACAAGCAATGAATTATTCATTCCACTATTAATTCTACAGTCCTCCTGCTTTTTATTTATTTCTCTCTTTATTTATTTTTTTCCTCCCAGATAGACAGCTCCAAAAGGAAGCTCGGTGAGGGGAGATTTGCCTGCTGGAGGATGGGGTGCACAGGGCTGGGCTGTCTGGCAGCACTGGCCATGCTCTGCGGGGCTCTCGGGGATGCTCCCAGCAGAGGTAAGAGCCTGGTTCCAGCTCCTGGTGGGAGCTGGATGGGCATCCATGGTTCTTGAGGAGGGGAGGGCCATGTGCAGATGCCACAGTGGCTCTGGGGTGTGAGTGGGTTCCAGCAGGGAGAGGGGCTGGCTCAGGCCGGGGGCAAGGAGCTGGGATCTGGAGTCACTGTTGTGGTAGCAGCAAGTGTGGGACACTTGCTCCGTGCTTGGGTTTCTGCTTCATGCTTACCTTACTGAGGACTGCAGGTAGGGGTTGTCCTGTTATGGTGTACAGGGGCTTTGGTGAAGGGTTTGTTAGCTCCTGGAGTTGCACTTGCTTATATAAATCTGTATACACATATACATTTATATGTGAATGTATGCATGTATGTGTATGTGGGAGGTGTGCAACAAAACTGTCACTGTACCCAGATAAAATGTCCCCCAGGATGCAGGGCAGGGTCAGCAGATGACACAGTAATTCAGGGGATAGGGTAACCCAAGCAATCCCCCATCCCAAAAGGGCAGGGCCTTTCTCACAGAAGGGCTGAGCCAGAAATCAAAACCCATCCCTGGCCCTGGTGCAGGTGCTCCTGAGGCTCCACCACTGCCCTGTGGTGCCTGCTCATCCCCCACATACACCCACCTGGGCTTCCCAGAGCACCCCAAAGCTCCCAGCCCTTAATCCATCCATCTGTCTTCACCATGGCTTCTCACTTCTCCCACAGGCTCACCTCTTGGATATTTATTTCAACAGCGTTGTTCCTTTAGTACCAGCCCCATATTACTTCACTGCATATCTCCAGTAATTAGCAAGGTGATTTTAGATCTGGCCAGACACACACTCATGGTGCTGCATCCCACACATCCCAGGAACCCCCTTGCTGCGAGGTCACCGTGCCAGTGAGCACGATGAAAAGCAATGTGCACAGGCTGACTATTGATTTGCAATATACTTGGCCCAGATTGATGGCAGCAAGTGCCCAGCCTTGTTTGGGAACCCACACGTGTCTCCTGGGGGCTGTGCAGGGTCTGCATCCCTCCCAGACATGATGTATGTTCCCCCTTCATCAGAGGTATCAGCCTCTTCACCCCAGCCCTAATCAGACCCAGGGGCAGGTGACAGCCGGAACCCTCTCAGCCTTATTTTATAATAACCATGTCTCAGTATAAAGATTTCATTAGGAAATCGATCCCTCCACACATAACTCATTGTTCAGCATATCGAGCCCTTCACCCCTGTTTCTCCCAGCTCAAATTCTCTGATACCACCATTATATGAAGGGAGTGTGGTCAGTGGGAGGCACAAAGCTGAAGGGCTGGGCAGCTGGGGCTCTGGCAAGCCTGGTACCACTGAGCCTTTAAAACTCACTCCCAACTTCCTTTTTCCCAGCCATAACCAGGTGGGGATGCTGTGCTGTCACTGGCAGGACAAGCTCAGGGGCACAGCTGAGCCCTCCTGCAGCTCCCACAGGGCAGCACAGGGAAGAGGGGCTACACAGAGGGATGAAAGGTGATGGGGACACACGTGTCCTCCAGGGAGAGTAGATGGACAAGCCCAGTGGAGTTCTGCAGGATGCTGGTGGTTTGGTACTGTGCTGGTGGGATGGAGCTGGTGTCGTGCATCCTGTCTCCATTCTTTTAGGCTTCCCCTGGAAAGGGGACATCACACCCACTTCTGTGTCCCCCAGGCATCAAATGTGGGGGAGTACTTTCAGCACCTTCTGGCAATTTCTCCAGCCCCAACTTCCCAGGGCTGTATCCCTACGAGACAGAGTGCACGTGGCTCATCGTGGTGGCCGAGGGCTCCTCCGTCCTGCTCTCCTTCAGCCACTTTGAGCTGGAGTACCATGATACCTGCGCCTACGACTACCTCCAGGTCTACAACGGGGCTGCCCGGGACCAGGGCAACCTCCTGGGCACCTTCTGTGGCCACAGCCCCCCGCCACCCTTCTCCTCTGCCTGGCACGTCATGGCCGTGGTCTTCCGCTCCGACCGGCACGTGGCCAAGCACGGCTTCGCCGCTGCCTACAAGAAAGGTAGCAGGGAGGTGTGGTGGTCACTGAGCATCCATCTGTCCTCTTCCACTGCCCTCATCATGCTTGCCTCCTTGCAGACGCCTGCGGTGGGCAGCTGACGGGGCTCTCTGGGGAGATCACCAGCCCCCGCTACCCCGAGAGTTACCCCAACGATGCCGAGTGCCGCTGGAGCATCGGGGGGGCCGGCGGTGGTGGCCCCCTCACCCTGGTGTTTGCTGACTTCCAGATGGAAGGGGGCCAAGGCTGTGGCTTCGACTATGTGGCCCTTTTTGATGGCCCCACCGTCACTGCCCCCCGCCTGGGACGTTACTGTGGCAGCGCCCGCCCGCCCCGCACCATCTCCTCCACCCCACACCTCTTCATCATCTTCAAGTCAGACTTCAACATCGGTGGCAGGGGCTTCAAGGCCCATTTCTACTCAGGTGCGGGGGTCTCAGGGTGGTGGGGCAATGGGAAGGACATGGGGACAGACCCTGGGTTGGGGTTGTGATTCTCTCCCTCGCACAGCAGCAAGAGGAGATGGTCATGGGGGAACCCCTTGGGGAGAGCCCATGAGATGATGGTGTGAAGTGTAAAGCACCACACAATGCAAATGGCATCGCTGTGGCTATTCAAAGTCCTGGGCTGCCTTCTTGAGCAGGAGTCACCATTGTTCATGCCATTCCCTAGGGATAAGGGTTTCTCCTGTAGGATTTTGACTCCCCTGGGAGTTTCCCTCCCCCAATGCTGGCTGTCCATTGGCCAAACACAAGGCTGGGAGCAGTAAGGTGAAGCACAGAGCATCCTTTAGCAGTAAAACAAGTGAGCACTCAGGAAGCTTCAGGTTTGCTTTTGATTTTTTCTTTTCCCCTTTTTCGCGGAGCAGGCGAGTGCCAGGAGGTGTTTACCACCATCAAAGGGAATTTCTCCAGCCCTCAGTACCCCAACTTCTACCCCAACAACCTCAAGTGCCAGTGGAGCATCCAGCTGCCCCCAGGCTACCGGGTCAAGGTCTTCTTCCTGGATATGGAGCTGGAGGGCCGGAGCAGCCTGACGGGTGGCTGTGACTACGATCACTTGTCTGCCTTTGATGGTGGCACCGAGAACGGGTCCCTGCTGGGACGGTGGTGCGGGCGGGAGAGCCTGGCACCCGTCACCTCCCGCAGCAACCAGCTGCTCCTGGTCCTCCACACCGACCGCAACACGGCCAAGAGGGGCTTCTCCATCTCCTACGTGGGAGGTAAGGTCCCACTTGGGTGCTCCTCAGTGCAGGAGAACTCAGTAATTACATTGGGACATGCCTAAGACCATGTAATTTCCAGAAGGATCATCAGTGAAGGTTCCTGTCTGCAGGAGCAGAGCCGTGGCTCTGTAGGGATGGGGCAGAGGAAGAGGTGGAGAGTGAGCTGCATGTTGTGTTTAGCATTCAGGAGATGCTTTCCAGCTTCAGATTCCTGTGTGTCTGCCACTGCCATGCTCTTGTTCCTCTCTCAGGGTGTGAGGGAGAGAAAACCTGAGGGTTTTTAATGGGCCAAAACCCCAGAGCAGGTGACCAGCTCAAGTGTCACAACCTTGTTCTCTGTTCCTTGGATGCTCGGACCTTGCCAGCACATGGCTGAGCAGGCAGACATGAACCATGTCCCCTCCTCTGCTGGCAGCAGCACGGGAGGGCAGGACCCCCGGAGCACAGCATTCCCAAATCCACCTGGCCAGGCCTGCCTGGCACAGCCCTGCTGCTGGCACGCCGTGTCCCAGCCAGCATGTCCGGCATGTCCGCAGCTGCTGGGAGGAGCAGTGTGTAACCTTCCTGCTCTATTTGCCAACCTTTGCGCCTCAAACGCCAGCAAATTTATAGTGTTTGTTGTATTTCAGTATAATTACATCCGAGCTGACCTGTGGGTCAGGGATGATTCAGCCAGGGGCAGCCTTTCCAGAGGGCTGGAGCCAGAGCAGGGCTGCTGGACTGGCAGCACAGGCGCTGGGGAGGCTGGCTCTGGGTTTTATCCCTCAGCTGCAAGATCGTTCTTCACTTCCAGCACAGCAGAAAGGATCTGGAGATCTGTGGCTCTTGGAGTTAGAGATGGGATAGAGGTCTGTCCTGAACCTCTGGAGGGAGGGAGGTAGTACTGCACATTAGTAGGTCTGTAGTGTGCAGAGCAGGTCTGTCCCTGTCCTTGTGCAGCTGATTTCTCACTGGTTTACAGCTGTGTACAGGCAGAGACTTGGTGTCACTGCTCCAGAGGGAGCAGCCTGCAGACAGACAGATGGGGTGCTGCTGAAGAGTGGGGGATGTCCCATCACAGGGAGGGCTGTGACACCTCCCAACTGCCCAAGGCTCCTGCATCCTCTGGTACACACAGCCAGATGTATGCTACGGGAGGACAAAGGCTTGGATGTGAAACTGAGCCTCCCTCCACAGAGCTGAGCCTGCTGGCTGTGTTTGCCTAGTGATTCCAGCATCTGCTTGTGATTAACGTCCTGCGTGTCACATCCAGCTGCCAGCACTGCCAGCCTCTCCCTGCCACCAGCTTCCTCAGGAGCCCACAGAGGCAAAGAGGCACCTCAGACCCTGCATCCACACCCACCTTCAGCCATGCAGATATTTCCCTTTCAGGCCCACCAAAAGGCATGGCTTGGGCGGGGCATGTGTGACTTATGGCCATTGAAATGAAAGCCTTCACGCCAGGAGAGAGGATTCACTTTCTCCTCCTCTTGATCTAATGCACTTTAGTTATTTGGTAAATCTTCTAATGGTTTTATAATGCACTAAGTGAAGCAAAGTGACACTATTTTTTCGTATTGATTTTATTGCATCTTCCCAGTTTCATAAGGCTGAGATTCAGAGGGAGCTGGAATAATTCAATAATTCATATTGCCCAAGTGGTTAGTTCAAGCTGAGCAAGGATTCACTTTAAAGAGGGGGGTATTTTTCCTCCCTGCTTCTTTCTCTGTGTGGATGCTTTCTACATCCAGAGAGGCCAAACATGGTGCCAGAAGGAGGGTGATGGAGAAGTGCTGGAGTCACCATTGCTTTGCTCTTCATCTTGGCATTGTGGGCAGCTCAACAGCAGCTCCCTCCATACACTACTCACCAGCTCCCCATCAAAATTATCATTCTGAGGACAGTGGAGGGCTGGTGATGCTTGGAACTATGCCTGGGTTGGGCCATTCCCCAGGAGGATGCCGCAGGGCCATGAACCCAGCTCACCCTTTCAGGAGAGCCATGTGGCAGCCATGAAGCTGCATCACTCCAGGGCATGCATGGGGTCCCTCCAAGATGTGTCTCCTGTTTCATCAATGTAGTGTCTCTTGCAGGGTTGTTGTAAGATGCAGAGCAGCTCTGTGCCCATGTCAAGCCATCCACAAAGCTCTCGTGGTTGGTCCTGGGCAGCAACTCAAATGTCCTGCTGGCTCTGCAGTGATGGGGAATGGCAGTGACAGCAGGATGGTGTTGTCAGTAATGGCACTTGTGTGTCACTTGGAGACCTGAGAAGGAGGATGAGGTACAAGAGGGTTGATAGTGAGATTTCTCCCTTGGGCAGAAAGCAGAGCAGTGCCTGGGAGCCATCCATGTCTGCCCTTGGCATGGGACAGGGCTAAAATACTGATACTGATTGCTTTCTGCATTCTGGAGTTAGCTTTTTTCCTGAAACCCCCCACACAAGTCCTACATGTGCACCCTGTTTTCTGTCCCAATAGTTGTGCCCATGAACGTCAGCTGCACCCGGACAGACTTCCACATCCAGATCCCCATGCAGTCCCTGGCCCAGCTGGAGAGGAATAGGATTTATTTGGGGACCCCCTCCTGTGCAGCCCAGGTGGTTGGCAGGAACTTTAAAATACACACCAGGTTCGACACCTGTGGCACTGAATCTCAGGTAAGTGATCAGCAAACACCCCTTTAAAGCAAGCTGTGTAAATGGTTAGCCCTGTGCTGGCTGCAGAGAAGTATTCCCAGTCCCTCTCACATTTTCCCAGTAGATGCTGGCCTGATTCATGGCCAATCCCTCCAAGCCCCTGTGGAAAAGAGCTGCACAAAGCCCTGATCAGCCGTGTCCCGTGTCTTGCAGAGACGCAACAACACGTCTGTCATCGTCAGCACCCTCTACATTGATTTTTCAGTGGGAGACCAGGAGGACATCCACCAGTACGAGGTGCAGTGTGAGCCAAAGAAGAAGGAAGCCTCAGTGACCCTTATCGCTGGTCCTGATCCATCCAGGCTCAGCCAGGCAGAAAACCTGGTGGATGCCCAGCAGTGGGAGGGGGAAGCGATCGATGCCCGTGAAATCAAGAGCCAGGACACCAGCGACATCGTCTTCATCAGCATCTGCATCCTGGCTGGGCTCCTCATGGTCATTGCAGTGGTGGGGCTGGTGCTTCTGTAGGATGCTCTTTCCACTTTCCAGGGATTGCAGTCCCAGTCCAGGGCAGAAGAACACCCCAAAATCCACCCTTACCACAGGCTGAACCGTAACACAGCTACCCAAACAGAGACACAGCTCCCAGGCCCTGAAACTGAGCCTGAACCCAACCTCCACCTTCTCTTAGTGCCTGAAAATTCTGGGCAATAGGCAGCCGTTTCCCATCCCAATTTGTTTTCCTCTGTCTCAATCTGTCCATTTGGCTCAGGAATGCAGTTCTTGCACTCCCTAACTCTTCCCGCACCTGCTTCAATTTGTTTTCCCTGTAGTGCTGCTGCTTTCAGGAAAGTAACATTGTTTGCCGATGGCTGCAAATCTTCCTGTCAATTATTTCTAGCTGAATTCTTGGATGTACAAACCATCCCCAAATGTAGCTATATTCCCAACAAATGTTCTCCGTGCTCCTGGCCCATGCTTGGGGGGGACTGTGGAGCATTGTTACAGGGATCTCCACCTGGCACACACAGATGTAGCTCATGTAGGTGCTCCCAGGTGATGTTTCTGGGTGTCTGTGGGTGATGTGATGAGATGCATTTGCTGTGCCCTGGAGCTCCTCGTTTGATCTTCTCATGTTGTCTCACTTCTCGCAGGACTCACCTGAGTGCCTCAGCCACCAGCAGCTGGAGGGGAGGAGAACAACCCTCTTCTCCTCTGTGTTTTCCTCCTTTCTAGCATATCCAGGTGTCCACGGCTGAAAACTCTCTACCAGCATTACTCCTGAAGTTTGAAAATATGGGCAAATCCTCCTATGGCTTGGGGAGATGTTGGAGTGCAGAGGTTTTGGTAACCCTATAAAGACAATGTTGGCAAGAGGGGCTGGCTCCCCTGGGACCCCAGTGACACCAGATCTCCACTCGTGGCCAGTGAAAGGACTGATGTCCTTCTTCCCTCTGGGACAGTTCTGTTCATCAGAGGAAGCAGCAGCCAAGGAATAGGATGATGATCCAGCAGCTTTTCCTCCTGGATTGCACCAGCCCTGCGGGAGTGTCTGGGGAGGGAAGAAGGCACAGAGCTGTGCATGCCTCCTAATGAGGAGCCTTCGTTATCGGAGCCCGGATTGATTTGGCGTTTGTTGGTGCAACACATCGGCAAATGAGAGATTTCCCAGGGAAATATTTGCCAGCACCGTTAAGCTCCATTAAGGGAATGTTTTGAGAGCCTGTTGTGTGCAGAGATGGTAAACAAGGCCAGCCTCCCCCACTGCCTGCAAAGCCTCACTGCTGGTTAATTGCTGGGTATAGAACTGTCAGCTTGAGACCATAGTTACAAGATTTGACAACTGAAAGAAACTTAAAGATATAATTAACCTTCTTGGTGGCCCAGATTTTGCTGAAACAGGTGAGCACTGCGGCTGCTCATGCCTGGCAGGGAGCCCACAGCACCCAGCAGCATCCAGCCCTTGCCTGGAGGATAGATATTCCTCACCCAGCCAGAGCCTCCAGAACCCTGCGATTTGCAGGGGAAAAGGCTTTTCTGGATAGTTGTTGGTGTTGCACTCAAATAAGGAGTTGGACCTGGTCACCCCAGGGAGGGTTTCCAGCTCTGGCTCCAGTTCACAACCACCCAGGCATCCCTGGGTGAAGTGCTCCCCTGCACACATCCCTCCAGATGGAGGATTGGTGCTGTGGGAGCGGCTCTGCTCCTGAGTCAGGGGGATCCCCAGCAGCCCCAGGCCTGCAGGGTGTTTTCCAGGGGAGATGGACAGGGTGATTAACGCATGTCTCCAAAAACCCTTTACCCACTTGTTTTTGATGGCATTTACAGCTGTATCTGCCACCAGCAGTGAGCCACTCGAGCGAGTCATCTCACTTGGAGCGAGGAAAGCCTCTGGTGCTCACCAAATACCAGCCTGCCAGTCCTCCTGCACCATGTCTCAGCCTCTCCACTAGATTTAGGCATCCAGTCTCTCCCTGCCCTGCAGGAATTTGCTCACTGGCATCTCCTGTTAAGTCAGGTCTTCCCTGACTTACTGCCCCAGCTGGGGCTGGAGCCCAGCAGGGATGGGGGGGCTGCCCAGGTAATTTCCTGAAACAAGCCCTTCTTCTCATGTAAAAGCTTCTCAGATGAGTGGCAAACAGATATGGAATCCATCACCAGCACTCCTTCCCTCCACTGTGTCTGTGCTCCTCACACATCAGGCCTCAGTTTCCCTCCTTAGCGTTTGCCCGGTGCTTCCCGAGCAAGCGGGAGAGCGGCAGCCACAGGCAGTGCTCCCATTGCTCATCTGATTATTTATTTAGAGCATGATGGCTGGATTGAGCCAGGCTGGATGCAGCCTCCTCATTTCCTGGCTTTGCTTATGGATGTGGAGTCTTGTCTCTCCGGAGCAGACAAAGGTTTGGCTGTTGTGCAAGAGGGAGAGCCTCTCTTACCCCTCTGCAAACGTCTGTGTGCAAATCCAGTGAAGAATTGTTGGAAAATCGTAGATCATAGAAAATGGCACTGCAAGAGCCCCCAGGAGATCAGTTGGTTTATTCCTCTCCTTCCCTGGGGAGATCGCTCCTACCGGAGAGAAGCTGTGCTAAAATATCTGAAAAATCTCAGCCATGCTCTCTGTGTTTTCTCTATTTACCAGGAAGGTTTTCCTGATGTGTCACACTGTGAGGGTGGCTGCTGGGGGATGTGCTTGTGTGCTGCTGCAATGGACAAGAGAATGATGGTGGAAGTGCCCCAAAATGGGTACTGCTGCTGGCACAAGACCCTGCTCCCTCTGCCCAGAGACCCTTCCCAGGCGATTTATTCTATGTAATGTTCACTGTAAGTTTTCTGTGGTGGCATCCACAGTCCTCTATGGCTGGACCTTCCCTCATTGCTCTGCCCAGAGGGTTATTTGTGTCTCTCCTGTTTTTAAACTCTAATCCCAGTCTGGGAATGGGGTACTTGTGATGCACAGGGAGCCAGTGCTGGAGCTGAGCCCATGACTGAGGATGCTGGTGGTGTGCATCTTCTGCATCCTCTCCTCACAAGGGCAGTTCATGGGCTGGAGCAGGAGCAGGTTTGCTGCTCCTCAGGGTGGTTTTCTTGCGTTTGGTGTGTAAGGCCAGGAGTCCACCAGCCACTTTTGCCATCTAGCCAGTCCTGGCTCCCCAGGAGTTTGGCATGGATGGGTCAGTGTGTGTGGTTTTGTGCCAGGAAGGATGGAGCTCACAGGTACCTACTGGAGCCCCTGGCCACAGTGACACAGAGCCTGCCACAAGGGTGGCCCTGCCTTGGGGATCCAGGTACCTGCTGGAGACCCTGGCCATAGTGGCACAGATGAGGAGGCAGTAGTCAGGCAGCTCAGCCATCTGGGAAAACATAATGGATCAAGCATATGGACAATTAAAAATGCAATGATGGCATTTATCAGGAGCTGTTTTCCAAGCTTATTTTAAGCCCAGTTTCCTGATCATCACAGCAAGGGCCCTGTTCATGGGGATTTTGGTGTGTGAAGGCTGAGTGTTCCATGATGGGTGGGACAGTTCACAGCTGGATTTTGAGCTTACAGTCAAGTCTTTGTGGCAGCTTTGGGGGATACAGATTTGATCCTGCCTTCTTCTGCATGTTGCAGCCCTCCTCCTCCTTCTCTCTATCTGGGACACAAGTGCAGTGTTTGCAATGTGAACAGTCCAGCTCAGGCAAAATATTGGCCACGGCAGAAATGATTTTGGCTTTTATATTTTTCTTGCCATTGGAGCTGGCTGTGCTAGAGGAACAGTGTTTGTCCATTATAGGAGCACCCTTTATAGCGAGATAACTGCTTCCTAGATAATAATATATAATTAGCAAAGATCATTCCATAATCTAGTTTAATTGACACAGACCATGGATGTTCAGGGGACTGCCAGCACAAGAATTGGAGCATCATGAATTTCAGTGTAACCCTAGCATGGGCTTCCCTTTTTTTTTTTTTTTTGCTTACTGTGACATGTCAGAGTTTCTTTGTGCCTCAGTTTCCCCTCCTGTGAGGTGCCAGGTCACCCACCTGAATGTTGCCATGCCATGCATGGAGGAGCAAGGCTTTGCTGGTTGTGGTCAACCAAGCTGGGGAATTCCCTCATGTGTTTCTCTCCCTCTCTCTACCTCTTCTTTTCTGCTTCTCTGTGTCCCTCCATTGCTCCAGCCCCCTATTTCTGCTCCATAACATACTCAGGGAGGAGAGTTCCTGAAACATCCTTTGGGCTTTGGTGGCTGCTCCTTGTCTTAATGTCTCTTAATCCAGGGCCAGTTTAGCCAACCCTTCATATTACAGGGCTGCCAGGGACGCAAATGAGATCTAAAAGTTTGGATTCTTTGTGAAGGAACCTTTGAAGAGCCTCTTGAAAGATGAAAACTGGTGAGCTGCTGAGCTCTCTCTTTTCCAAAGGACAGGGAGGGTCTTGTCTACTCCCATCTTCTTTCACTCAAGTAATTTGCTGCAGGACAAAGCTCTCCTGAGCTGTACCTGCTGATGGGGAACAGAGCAAGCTGTCACCTACTGCCATCCCAAATTTGCTCTTCAAAGCCAGGGTCAGGAGTCAGCTCTGCAGGAGTGAATTCCCTCTTCCATCCCTCCTGGTGCTGCCCTGAGCCCACCCTGTATTCCCCAAGCACAGGGAGGGGGAATCAGGATGTGACACCTCCAGAAAGTGCTTCCCTCCTCTCTTTGCTGGGTGTAGCAGGTCTCTAGAGGTCTGCCAGCTTTATGTATGTGTTTGCTGAAAGGAATTTCTGGGATAGGCGTAATCTGGAAGAAAAAGGAAGAACAAGAACTTTTCTCTGGATTGGGTGCTTCCCTTATTTAACATTTCCCCTGTATAAAAGGGGAACCAGCAGTTTCAGTCTCCATGCCAGAGAAACCAAGCACAAGGGAGCCACTGCTCAGCCCTTTCATCCTCCCTTTTAATCTAGAAGGGTTTCCCCAGCATGAAGACTAGGCTGCATCACCCACAGGAGGGAGGAAGAGCCAAGGAGCAGCAAACTGATTCAGCAGGTAACCCAAGGCATCAGTAACCACAGTGTGCAGGTGATGCTGCTCCACAGAGGGAATCTGGTTTTTAGAGACTAATTAAAAACTTCATTAGTGCCAGGTATCAAGTATCCCGTTGTCACATTCAAGCATCACCCTTTGGGAAAACAAAACCCTTTTTGGCCTGTTGTTTTCCCATCTCTGTTTTTGTTTTCTTTCCCTACCTTCCTTTCTGTCATTAAGACATTCCCTGGTTCCCTGAATTCCTCCTGCTGTGGGTCTTGAGTCCAACTCTCCAGATTCTTTTCCAGCTCCTCCAGTTTTCTGCAAAGCTGCATCTGTGAATCCTCAGCCCAAATGTTACTGCCAGCTTTAACATTAAGATAAAAGAACTGGACCCAGAGCTTTACACTTGGGTTCCTTTGAAACAAGTTGGGAAAAAACATCAACAATTAAAGGGAGGAAATTTATAGGAGAGTTTTCTGCTTGTGTGCAGCAACTCTGCAGTTACTTTTTAAATGAAAAATATTTGGCACAGCCAGACTGTATCTGACCTGTGTGGGAAACTTCTTTGGCCCAGCTTTCATTAGACCAGAAGTTCCTCATTTTCAGGAATTTTGCTTCTCACATTACCCAAATAGAGGAAACACAGCCAGGAATACAAAGCTGCAAATAAATATTGCAGGTCATGGCATTGCAGCTCTGATGCAAAAGCTGTGTCATTCATTGATCCTGAACCCCTCCTGATG